TTATATTACATGGATAATTATTATACCATCCATTCACATACCCATTATACATATAACAAAGTAAAATAAATAACATCTATGAAATTATAAGAAATAATTGTTGGAACAAACATGGGTCAATTTGCAATACCCTACTCTAAGATTTGATGTTACCCATGATAACTAATGTATATTATATGGTCAAGAAACTAATTATATCTATCTATCTATATAATATAGTATTTATATCATCTGACCCCCACAAAACGTGCAGTGGTTTTGGATGATTGATGGGCATGATATGAAATGGTGACATGGAAAGACCCATCAACTTCTTTCCCTCCAATGTCCAGGTTTTATGCATGCATGTGGGTTTTTTTTTTTTCAGGATATTGTCAACATGTATTTTCTATGTTTAACATCATATATGCTGCATATATATATATATATATATATATATATAGGGGGGGGGGTGTAAGCAAGTGGTATTTGTGAGCTACCAATATGATAAACTTTAGGTCAAATTCTTACATTTATGGTACATACCCCATATGGGTCAGTTCATTTAGAGCACATAATACATTTTTGTGAAATCCCCAAATTTTAGATTGAAATTTAATTTTTTAAGTTTTTATAAATACCATCAATGATATTATATGATTTTTTTTTAAAAATATGAAGTTGTATTAAAGTAAAAATGAGAAAGAGTACTGTCTATTTACAAATAATTTAAACAATCATACTATAAAATCGAGATCATTCAAGTATTCGATATTATATTTAAAAATAATAGACCCGTAATAATGGAACCAGCTGTCAGTGAAGATTAAAAATATAAAATTGTATTAAAGTAAAGATGACAAAGAGTACTGTCTATTTATAAATAGTTTAAATAATCAGATTATAAAATTTAAATCATTCAAGTATTCGATATTATATTTAAAAATAGTGGACCCGTAATAATAAAACCAGTTGTCAGTGAAGATTAAAAATATAAAATTGTATTAAAGTAAAGATGATAAAGAGTATTGTCTATTTACAAATAATTTAAACAATCAGACTATAAAATCGAGATCATTCAAGTATTTAATATTATATTTAAAAATAATGAACCCGTAATAATAGAACCAGTTGTGAGCGAACATTCTGAAGTCGACTTCTTTTCTTTCGAAAACACGATTGTTTGATCAAATTCTAAATTAAATAAGAATTTGATTGATACGTTTGATTAAATTGTGTTACCTAAAAAGTTGTGTAGAAAAAGACTAATATTTTTTTAGAAATAAAAAAAAATTTTAAATTATGAATAATGTAGGATGAAACAACTTGTGCATATATAAAATATTATATATATATATATATATATATATATATATATATATATAACCAATGGATTGGTGCAAATCAAATTATTTGTTGGTTTCAATTGTGTTCCAATTTGAATGGACATATAAATTATATGTCCTTCTTCAAGCTAATTTGAAATGTGAAGAATGGGGTAGCCTTTACCAGCAAGGGCTGAACCACCACTAGAGACCAGTCATTTGATCATGACTAGAACCTCACATAGATGAGATTACACCTCCTACTCGAGAACGCCCGTTGGTTTTCAATTGAAAGAATTTAATCGTAACAAAATATTCATATTTTTATAATTATAGTAATTCATCGATATAGAATTTAAATTTATTGAATCGAACATTATAGTTTTATAACTATCAACTTATAATATATTGAAAAAATGACGAGGTATACGTTCATAATATAGTTGACTTTTAAAATAGAGTACTAAAATATTAACCACTAATTCACCAGTCTAATTGATAATAGACGATTCAGTTGATTTCTTATCAGTGTAATGTTCGAACAAGTTCATAAATTTAGAGAATTTACTTCTCTAATTTTATTTATAAGATATTTAAATTTTATTTAAAAATTCAGTATCGTAAGAAATTTCGTTTGAAATTACTATATTTTATTTTACATTTTATCAAGATCAATAATTTGTTTACAATAAATACATTTTTGAATCAATTTTTATATCCTAAAGACCATGCGAAAAGTATACGCTCGTTTCAATACAAGTTAGACTAATTCTTAAAAGTAAAACCGATAGAATTTGAAATACGATATTAAATTCGATACAAACTCGATACAAAATAAGTCTTTACATGTATTTTAATAAGAATTTTCATTATGTTTTAATTAGATTGTGTCCAATTTATGAATATGATCCACTAAATTTCTGAATTTGGTCCAAAGGTAGTTCCAAACACTTCAAAAAACTCATGAGCTATGGACTTTTAAGGTCCTCATAATCAAGATCTCCAATTAATGTTTTACCAAACTAATTGGATACTCTCACCACCTTTAGGTGATGAACTGCCCTAGTGGCTAGTTCAATCCAGTTATCCCCAGTCAAGAATTTTGAGTTTGACCAATTAAGCAATTAACTATATTATGACATAGACCATTAATAAACACTATGAAGTTAGATTATGGAGAGTAATCTCAGTTATCCTCAATTATTCAGTGTGGGGATGAGTGATCAAGGAAGGTTTGGCAGAGGTAGATTGAGATGAGCAAATAGAAAAGGATGTGGAGGCTGGTGGTGTTACTACCACAAAAGAAGGTGAGCTTGAGAGAGAGAGATGGGAAGATGATAAACAGGATAACAAGGAATGTTTTGGGGTTATTGCAGGGAGGGGAAGAGAGGAGATTTTTGGGGTTTTGTGAAGATGATACTGGAATTTTAGGTTAGGCTTTTAACAGTAGACGATGAAAGGTTAAAGAAGTTTTCGTTATGTTTCGAGGGCCGGAAATTCTAAAAGAAAAGAGAAAGCTTTCCTGTGTTTGGACAGCATGCAAATCAAAAGGGAAATAACATTTTTCTTTTGTTTTATATGATTTTCTCTCCTCTTGTTCACATTAATTGTCTCCAAGATCCAGCAGCTCTACAACTATAGAAGTAAATGACAAATCAGGTCCACGAACTTATACCCTCTTAACTCCAGTACTTAAATGAAACACTCAGCCAAAAAATAACAAAAACAAAAATCATAAAAGAGCTTGACATGCATTTCTAATTTAACCACGATCGTCCATGATGCAGAAGAAATGGGAAAGAATTCACTGAGATGTGTAGCTTCGACAAGGCTGGTAAGTTGTAACTGTCCATAACATGATAATTTTCTGGATGCTGATAAATTTTATCCTACTGCTGCAAAACTTACATTATCAATGACACAAGATTCTATGACTCAGTTGATAGGTACCTGCTTATCCGTCTCCCCCCCATTGGCAGGCTGTTCATTGGCTTTGTTACCATCAGTATCTGGTAACTCATCCTCACTGGTGGCCAGTTCATTGGCTCTCTCACCATCAACATCTGGTTGCTCATCGGTTGACTCACTCCCCTTTAATTCCTCCTCACTGAAGAGATCTCTTTGGACTGGAACGCTTTTTAGCTGCTGCGAGGACATTACAGTTGCAATGGCTTTAAATGCTGCCGCGGCCTGATTATCTGCAACTGCTTCTGTATCTATCCCACACACACTGGGTTCCTCTGAGGATTCATCTTGTCGTGGAGGGGGAACAAAGAAGGGTATCCTACCCCTCTGCCAGTCATGGAGCACCATCTTTGCCGCAGTCATCAAGTCAGGTTCACCACCCTGGAACAAGCAATTCACACTCCGTGTACATTATAAAAGTAAAACAATAACAAAAAAATATCAAATGTACAAAGTCGCGACGTTTTATTTTCAGAATGACAAATCAGTAGTTATGACGATTCTACAACCAGTCTAGAAACAGAAGCAGCAAGGTTGAATGTTGACGATGCTCTTAATTCAATAAATCATATTGTCGATTAAAGTCAACTTCCACTAGTGATAGATATTCTTCCTACATCACCAAATTGTGTCATTGTATCCTTGCTCTGGTGGCAGTTGCCTAATGATATCAAGTCAAATTCAATTTCAGATGCCACATCACATAAACACAAGCAAGACGTGAATTCCTCATACAACCGATAAAAGTATACCTACAAAATATTTCTTTAATATAAAACTGGTACTGGGTCATAACATTAATAGGTTGGAAAATTTTGGAAATGTCATTGACCTTTTAATTGACATGTAAATATCTTATATACGGGCATTACCCTTTTAGTACTTTTGTTAATAATAGTACCACACTACACCTTTTCTTTTAAAAAAGAAAATTCTTTAATATAAACACCCTCTTCTCTTTCCTAAGGGAACAAAGAAACTTATAGTTTCCTTGCCATTGGCAAATCCATCTGAACGTGAAACATAAGCATCAATTGACTAGCTCCAAAAAAAAAGATTACCAACTACTGGGCTAGCATCAAGACCCAAATTTAAAAAGTAATCAACTGCTTGTCCAAATAAAAAGAACAAATATTGGAACTGAAAGCATACCCTCAATAGTTTGCCTGTTAATTTGCATAGCTGAACTAGAAAGTCATTTTCATCCACCCTGACAAAAGTAGCAAAGTGAAACACAGTTAGTTCTTTTCTTTATTGACATTAAAAGAAAGTAATACTCAAAGGCACCAAAGGAATGCCAGTGTGCCACCAAATAACGAAAGATCAGAAACCAAAGGCCTACTAGATCCAAATCCACAACATCGTGAATAGGATGCATTGTAAACAAAATATTTAGAGTACGAAGCCAGTAATCTCTAGTCTTTTCAAAAGGAGAAAAGTGCTCCCAGAAATGCTCTTGTTCCATTTTTTCTCCAAATGAACAAAAAATTAGATACAGGAATGAGATTGAATAACTGTTCCCATGTTTTATACCCAACCGAGCCCAATGTTCACAGGCCTCGAACCTGAAAAATCCAAGACAAATTAAGGGAGATCTAAAACAAAATCTGTGTCTTCTAGCCCTCGAAGACCATGGAAGGAGATGACTGGAGGATTCATACTCGCGAAGGCATAAAGGACAACAAATGACAATAAGTTTTCCTCTTCTCCTCAACTTACCCATGATCAGAATTCTTTCCTGTGCATCTTCCTAGATTCAAAAATAATAACAAAGCAATTACTTTCTCTAGTTCTTGACTTATTTTTTTATGTTAAAAACTAGGACGATCTTTTTCCCCTGATAAGCGTAGGTTTAGGATCTATGGTCTAAAGAAATTAGGATGATTTTTCCCCTGATAACACAAACGAGGTAGTATCTGAAATTCCTGTTCCGGAGAGATGGATGAATAAAAGAACTATATCCAGAAAAGGAAAAGAAACAACATGCCTCCATATTTTTGAAAGTTATCGTCTGGATTTCATGACACCAGCAACCCTTAAAAGTTTTGGAACTAACATAACTGATTGAAAACATTTTTTCAATCTCATTATAACAAGTTGCATAAACAACCCTCTCTCCCCTTTAGGGAAAAAAAGGAGAAAAACAAAACTTCCCCAACAAAAAAGGAAAATCTAGAGCAAAACTCTTTCTAGTATGTGAAAATGAAAAATAAGATTTCCAGGTAAAATATCATGAAGAAAGAAGAGTCAGAAGGGAAAAATGCTAAAAAGATGCAAGAGTTTTGAATCATATATCAAGAGCATAG